TCTGAGTTGCTCCCCGTGCCCTGGGCCCCCGTGCCCGCCGCGTCTACTGAGTTACTCCTTGTACCCTGGGCCTCCGTTCCCGCCGCGGCTACCGCACGGAGAACCGCCGTGAAGGCCCGAAGGCAAGGCCTGCGCATCTTCTACCACGTGGCAGCGTGTCCCAGAAAGGAGCGCGGGGAAGGAGCAGCGTTCTGATGGGTTTCCTCCGCGACTTCCTCTCTCGCTTATCTCACAGGGCTCTTTCCGACTCGGCCGTGTCCGCGTCTCGGCTCCTGTGACCCCCAGCCTTAGGGCACTGCAGCTTCAGAGACCGGCACCAGTTCAGAACGCTCTTCTCCCTACCCTCCCACCTCCCTTCCCGGTCCAGCCCCCAGCCAGTGACCTGTGTCTGGGCCCCCAGCTGGCTCAGTCCATCGGGGACCCTTGCCCTCGGTGAGCACCGCACACCCGGGAGGGTGGCGAGCTGCGCCGCACCCCACTGTGAGCCCTGGAGGTTGGCGCACCGGCCTCGCACCAGTGCCTCACCGCACGCTCCTGCCAGGGCGCTGGAGCACCTCTGAGGGCAAGGCAGAGAGCACGCTCGGGCCGGCAGGAGGCAGGGAGGTCACTGCACTGTTCCCGCATGGCCAGCTCCACAGTCAAGTCCTGAGCCTGGTGGCTTGGAAACCATGCCACACATGTGTGCACGTGTGTACCCAGAACCCCAAGGAGAAGGATGGAAGAAGAGGAGGAACTGTGGCGTGGCTACTCCCCTAGGAAGACCTCCCTCCTTCCCTCTCCGTTCCTCTCCAGTGCGTGCACATGAAAAACGAAGCCCTAAGAAGGTGGGAGCTGGCTGGGGAGAGGCGCCCTCCATGGCGCATGCCCTCCATGGCGCATGCTCTGGACGCAGACAGGTCAGAGCTGACGGTTGGTGCGACCTGAAATGCTCGAGTCAGTTAATTTTGGCCCCCAGAATGTTTGGAAGCGTGTCTCCCATCTATTTAGCGTCGAGCTGCTCATTATACTCCCAAACATGTTTGGGTTCTGAAGGGCTCTCGACTAGAACTCAGCGTGAGTCTCCGTATTCTGAATTCTGTTAAGGAAATTTTACCCAGGCTGATTCTCCACAAGCCCCGAGTGGGACGATGTCTCCGGCACTCCCGGATTCTGACCCTTGCTGAAGGTCTCGTCTCGCACTTCCACAGGGGGAGTTTCTGCTCAAAGCATCCTTGGAGAAAGGCCCCAGGTTTCAGAGCACGGGCTC